GCCCCCTGTGTCCCCCCCACCCCTGGGTCTCAGAACGTAACCGGGGGTCCATCAGCTGTGACACCCCCATCACACCCCCCCCCCGCCGCGAGGTTTAGGGACCCCCCCGTGTGGTCACCGAGCGGTCACTGTGAGTGCAAAAGTGTCCCTAGAGTCGCTGCCGAGGCGCGGGGGTGCCCACAGGAGTGTCCTCTCCTGGGAGCCGCTCTTGTTTGGGATTTTTGCCGGCTCCCGCTTCCCCCGGGCTGCGTGGGCAGAGCCCCAGCTCAGGTGGGAGTTGGACACCGGCTCCGGGCTCCTGGCACGGGACAGGGACAGCCGGGACAGCTGGCCTGGCATGGGAACCCCTTTCCCGCTCGCCACCTCCGGCCACGTCCGGAGTGACACGGGCCGGTGGCTCCTGTGCCCTCAGCGGTCCCCTGGCACCCTGGAGGGGCTGGCACTGGKTGCCCTTCCAGACCCGCACGTGAGCGGGTGTCCCCTCCGAAGGCACACGCTTCCCGGAGCGTCATTAAAAATGTATTAATAGCCAAGTGTAATTAAATACAAGGAGCTGCAGGAAAAGCCGTCTGAAAGGGCAGATGGCAACGGGCAGGAAGCTGGGAGTTGGAGTTTGCAGGGGCAGGAAATGTGTCGCTCTGCTCGCGGAGCTCGGTGGTTGCCGTGGGACCCCGGCTCTGCGGTATCCGGGCTCCGCAGGCATCGCGGGGGTCAGCGCTCGACAGCAGCTCGGGTGTGCGTGCGTGTGTTTTCAATTAAAAAAAAAATTTAAAAAAGGAGAAAAAAAAAAACCCCAAAACACTCAGGAGTTGAGGGAAAACYCTCCCGTGGCGTTTCCCTGGGCTGCTTTCACTCCTCTGGAAGGAGCCGTTCGGGAGGGGATGGAGCGGGGCAGGAGCCTCCGCCGTTCCCATTAGCGATCCCATTCCCTTTGCGGTGCCCTGGAGCGCTGCCCCGCTCCCAGCCCGGCCGCTGCCAGGGGCTGTACCAGGCTGTGCCGGCCGCACGGGGAAATCTCCCGGAGCTCAGGAACGCGGGAAGAACCATCTGGGCGCTCGGGCTGCCCTGTCCTGCCCTCCTCTAGCAGAGGGCTCCAGGCTGTGCCCGCTTCCCTGGGCTCCCGCTCCTCATCCCCGGGGAATGTCTGAGGCAGCCACCCACGCTCTCAGGGAAGCACAGACTCGTCCGTCCGTCYGTCCGTCCATCCATCCATCCCTCAGCCAGAGATAAGTGCGACAGCGATGCCGAGATGAAACTCTACCAGGACTCCGGCGGGGTTGGATGATTTTAGAATTTGGCAACAAGTTGCCCTTGCTGGTATCCAGCCCCGGGCTGGGGGTGCCAGCATGGCAGAATTTTGGGAATGCTGAAGGATTCTCYKGGCTGGGGGTGCCAGCATGGCAAAATTTTGGGAATGCTGAAGGTTTCCCCCAGGTGCAGCGCTGGCTGTTTTGATTTTGCTGCTTCACCCCAGCGCTTTTGCACAGGTCTTGGGTCTCGCTTTGTGTTTAATCTCTGCAAAATTCACCGAGTCACGCTCCTTCCCCTGTGTCCCTGCTGTCACCCAGCTGCAGAAGGGAAGGATTTGGGGTGACAGCAGGGTGACAGCGGCCTGGACCCACAGGGAATCGATTCCTCAGGAGCTGCCACCCCCAAACCCAGCGAGGGTGGCCGAGGAACCACGTGCGCGTCTCCAGAGTTGGTGGCCTGGAATTCAGGGAGGGATAAGGCTCGGTAATCCCGTTAAACCCGCTGGAAAGGGCTGGCCGGGCTGCGGGGCAGCAAAACAAAACTGCACACGAGGATTTCACTGGGCGTGGGGCCGCTCACCTGCACGGGTGACACCTGCACAAGGGACATGTGCACGGGTGGGCTGTGACACCCACATGGGTGACACCTGTACGATAGGCTGTGACACCTGCACGGGTGACACCTGCACAGATGTGCCATGACACCTTTTCTGCCCAAATTTCCAGCCTCTGGGGCCTGGCAGGACACAGGAAGGAGAGAACTGAGCGTGGCCCCATTGTAGGAACACAGATTTTATGGGGGAAAAGCAGCTTGAGAAGGTTCAGCCGCAGCCGAGCCCCCAGTTYGGGGTGGCCACCTCTCCCTGCTCCCCCAAAATCCGTCTCCAGCTGCGGAACGGGGGTGCCAACCCCACCCAACTGAGAGGGTCTCATTCCTGAGTCTCCCTGGGGAGGCTGCACGGCGAGCCCTATATATAGGCACCCTATAGGGGAGCGTGGGCTGCTGTGTGGGATGACTCAAATTACCCGTCCCACCCCCGAGCTCCGCGGCTGCCGGAGCAGGAACCCTCATCCCGCACCTGCTCCTGCTCCCCGATCCCGCTGGGATGAGGGAATCTTTCCCCTGGGGAGTGCCCAGCGTGGAGATGGACGGGGGACAAGGGGACAGGAGGTTCCTGTGGGGTGATTGAGCCCAAACCCCACTCAATGCTCCCGAGATGTCCCAAATCCCACAGGGATGAAGGAATTGTTCCCATGGGGAGCTGCTGAACCCCAGAGTGCCCAGCTTGGAGCTGGCACGGGGGACAATGGGACAGGAGGTTCCTGTGGGGTGATTGAGCCCAAACACCACTCAATGCCCCCAAGATGCCCCAAATCCCACACGGATGAAGGAATTGTTCCCATGGGGAGCTGCTGAACCCCAGAGTGCCCAGCTTGGAGCTGGCACGGGGGGMAATGGGACAGGGGTTTTCTGCAAGGTGATTGCACCCAAATCCCCTTCAGTGCCCCTGGTGTCCCTAAAATTCCAGTGGGATAAAGGAATCGTTCCCGTGGGAAACCGCAGCACCCGAGTGCCCAGTTTGGGGGCAATGGGACAGGGATTTCCTGCGGGGTGACAGCACCCCAAACCCCCCTGGTGTCCCCAAAATCCCAATGGGATAAACAAAACATTCCCATGGGGAGCTGCTGCACCCAGGAGTGTCCAGTTTGAAGGAAATGGGACAGGGATTTCCCGCGGGGAGATTGAACCCAAACACCACTCAATGCCCCCAAGATGCCCCAAATCCCACAGGGATGGATGAAGGAATTGTTCCCATGGGGAGCTGCTGCACCCCGGAGTGCCCAGCTTGGAGCTGGCACGGGGGGAAATGGGACAGGGGTTTTCTGCAAGGTGATTGCACCCAAATCCCCTTCAGTGCCCCTGGTGTCCCCAAAATCCCAGTAGGATGAAGGAATCATTCCCATGGGGACCCGGAGTGCCCAGTTTGGGGGCAATGGGACAGGGATTTCCTGCGGGGTGACAGCACCCCAAACCCCCCTGGTGTCCCCAAAATCCCAGTGGGATAAACGAATCATTCCCACGAGCATCTGCAGCATCCCAGAATGCCCAGATGGGAGGCAATGGGACAGGGATTTCCTGCAGGGTGGTTGAACCCAAACCCCACTCAGTGCCCCCAAATGCCCCAAATCCCGCAGGGATGAAGGAATCATTTTCATGGGGGACCACAGCGCCCTGGAGTGCTCAACATGGAACTGGCATAGGGGACAATGTGACAGGGGTTTCCTGTGGGGTGGTTGCACCCAAATCCCCTTCAGTGCCCCTGGTGTCCCCAAAATCCCAGTGGGATAAAGGAATCGTTCCTATGGGGAGTCACAGCACCCCAGAATGCCCAGCTTGGGGGCAATGGGACAGGGATTTCCCGGGAGTTACAACACCCCAAACCGGCCTGATGTCCCCAGAATCCCATAGGGATAAAGGAATCATTCCCATGGGGAG